TTTTTTTTTTTTTTTTTTTTTTTTTTTTTTTTTTTTTTTTTTTTTTTTTTTTTTTTTTTTTTTTTTTTTTTGTTTGTTTTTTTTTTTTTTTTTTTTTTTTTTTTTTTTTTTTTTTTTTTTTTTTTTTTTTGTTTTTTTTTTTTTTTTTTTTTTTTTTTTTTTTTTTTTTTTTTTTTTTTCTTTTTGTTTTTTTTTTTTTTTTTTTTCAAGAAGGATCTATATCATAATCTTATATTCGATAGTATCTTCTGAAATATCGGTCTATATCATAGATTAGAATCGAATTCATAATCTATGATAGATTCCAATTCGATTTCATAGATAATCGAAAATATATAGATGATATATAGTACTATATAATCATAGATCTATTCAAAGTCTTCAGTCATTATGGAATAGGGGAAAATAATATATCTTGAATAATATATAAGATAATAAAGTATAATTCAATATAACAAATGATATCATAAATTCAGGAATTTACTTGCTTTCGGCGCTTTGATTCTTCACGATTTGGCGAATCGAGATAGGCATCAATTCGTATTTTTAATTCTCCTACTCTTTATGCCAGAGATCTGATCATATTTTATATATATACGGAAATAAATCACTCTGAGAAATAATATATTTATAAAAATAAATCATTCTGAGAAATAGTTGCTTTTCAAAATATCTAACCTATCATATAGATAGACATATATTTCGAAATCGAATATAATTTCGATAATATACGTCTGCTACGATCCCATCCCAATAATTTATTAAATCAATTGTTCTGACCTAATAGATCTGACCCATTAATCCATTCATCTAGCCCAATAGACTTAGGAGATTTTCATCTATTAATCTCTTGTGAGGGTTAGAGCGCGCTTCTTTTAGGCACAGGCAACCAAGATCATACGAAGATACACTTGCGCGAAAGCTACTGTATACTGTACAAACTTTCTCTCGTCGCATGCTACTTCGGATACTGCTTGGATGTTCTCGTGTTGTGCGTGTCATCCTTAAAAAGAGGGGCCATGCCTGAGAGCCTGTTGCGCCTACGGCGCGATCTCGCACTGCACTGCTGTCACCACCAGCAGCTGCGCCAAGGCTCGTACCTGAGCGGAGCTCAGGATGTTCACGCTCTCCCCCTGGGTTGCGTAGCAGCCCACTCGACCAGGAACTCTGTTCGTCCCCTCCAGCTGCGATCACGCGGTCGCTGTCCTTGTCGTAGCCAGCTGTCGTCGATAATCTCTGTGGTACCGTCATGATACCACAAGAGCGTCCGCCTTGAACCAACCAGCATGTTCACAGCCAAGTGTCCAGGCAGCCTGCTTCCCCGCGGTGAGAACAACTGTACACGTGGAGCTGCATGCCACCGTACTAGCACAAATGGTCGCGATGGCGAGTACAGGTAGAAATCCCTGATTCCAGCGGGAGGTAGCTGATGAATACTGCTCTGTAAACCTCCCCAAGTGGAGGCTCGGAGTGCCAACTCAGCAACTGGTAACTGTACAGGAGCCGGCCATTGTGGATTAGGGTTAACAGGAGGGTCAGGGAGAGCTGGGTGCATCTGAGGATTGTTGCGTGCGATAGCTTGATCTCGCAGTTGCTCATAATCTAGCACCCGCACAGCAGGTTCCCCTTCACCTCCACCTTGTGGAAGCTGCTCAACTAGATCCTCATACGTCAAGACCCTGGGGGGGACATCGGGCCCAGGCGAGGGTGGCGGAGCCACATGAAGTTCTTCAGGGAGTGGTACTTCTACGACATCATCAGCATACTGAAACCGCATGACTGGTCGCTGAGGCCTCTGAGGCTCAAACTCTGGTTCTTCTCTGTACACTCTTTGTCCTACTGGCCTATGGCGAAGCTGCGGTGGTTGGGGGGTAGGACTAGGAGGGCGAGGCGGAGGATCTACGACTTCCGTTATCTTCGTCATCAGGCTGTGCTTCGGACAGCACATCCGCTTCCTCCTCGGGTTCGTCAAAGCTTCTCCGAAGCCACCACGCGCTAGACAAAACCCTAAAACCCTGAACAAGCTTCCTACTCAACCATTTCGCTCCTTCCCACAGAACGATACTGCAGATAGCTACCATACCAAGCAGCGCCCAGAACTCCCACTCATGAGTATTGCTTTCGTGTGAGCGGCCTGCGGCTCCTTCAACGACACCAACACACAGTAGCAAGGTCAGCGAAGCAATGGTAGACGTGTGAACCCTCACAGAGCTAGCCGTTGCAGGAGTCGCAACATCACAAGTCAAACTAGACAAGCCAAGTATCGCAATCAACTCCCTCAGCCTACTCATAGGCACACTCTTTGTCCCCAGGTCAGCTCCATTGCTGACCCCTGGAACGTAACCTATGCCAACATTGTCAGCCTGAAACTCCTCCTTGAGGGCAGCAGCCCGTATTCTAAGATGTCTTGTACGCCACGACGCATTATCTACTGTGATGATCTGCAGGGCTGCCTTGTTGTCGTTTAGAACTGTGAGGCGAACATTGCACCCAAACAGCTCTGATGCCAAATATTGATGTGCCCTAGTAGCTCAGCCTCAGCTGTAGATTGGGCGGTGAAGGGCTGCTTGCTCGACAGCCACGTGACCAAACACCCATCCTGATATGCTATGACACACTCGTGGGAACGCCCCGCCGCTGGGGCAAAACATGCATCAGTGTGCACGGTGATGTGATGCAAGGCCTCTGATGCTATGCCACATGACAGCTCCTGGGTACGATCATCCGCGCTGTAGGCCAGCACCGTATCTACGGTGTTGAAAACGTACCCTAAAAGGTGTTCAATGTAAGGCAGCGTGCCAGTGGGATTTCGGGACATGCTAGATGCCAACTTGCTTACACCAAACATCAAATCAGGCCTTGTCCTCATAGCTACCCAGAGTACTTCACCTAGCATACCCTGACACGACCTGAGTGCACTTGGGTCTCGTTCCTCAGGGCTCACCTCAGGAATGTCGATGTTACCAGGCGGCAACGGCACACACTGCATCTTGATGTGTGGGTACCTAGTCTGGAGATCACGAATGTAACCTTGTTGGCCCAACAGAAGTTGATCACCCTTCCACGCGAACTCAATCCCAAAGAAAGCCGCCGTGCCCTGAGATAAATCCGGAATTTCCTTTACCGAACCTGTTTCCCAAGTGGCTCGAAACTTGTTGACAAGAGCCAAAGCGAACACCCTCTGACCCATAATAAACAGGTCGTCGACGTAGACTGCAATCCACGCCAACGCCTGTCCAGGCTCACCGTCCTTACTGACATTCGGCAACCTAAGTGACCACACCTGGGAATCAGCAGCCGATGGCACTAGTACCATTTCCTTACCAATCGCCTCCCGAAGCATCGGATCAAGTGTGGACAGCTCAACCTCCGTGAAATCCGAAATTGAAACCGAAATCCTCATGTCAGTAATGGTTTGGTCCCGTGTGATACCCCAGTCCCTAGGTGATTGAGGCAGGCCGTAAACGGCACGGAGACACAGATAGAACTCGTCTTTATCGGCGAGGCCGTGTGCGATCAAGACTTTGGGCGGACGAACAGCAATGAGCTCCGTAGGATTGTCAGTGAGTGTTGGCGCGGGCGCCGTCCGAGGTTTGAATGGGTCTAACAGCAGACTATTCAAAAAGGCGGTTTTAATGTCAAGGATGTAGCCGGCCCACTTGGCCTTAGCACCTCGTGCCGCGATTTGCCGAACGTGTGCAACCTCACATCCTGCCGCATACAATGACGCTTTCTGCTGACCGCTGCCATCTTCGCCCCAACCCTCTGGAACAAAGTTCCCACAAATAACAATCCTTGTTTTGTACCGTCCGCCGCTTTTTCGTGTAAAGATGGCCTTACCTGGAACAATGGTTACGCGAGCACCTTCTGCTTCCAAGCGCCGAATGTCAGCAAGCGTGATGCGTTTAAAGGCCTTCTTGTCATCAATGAGTGAATACAGCTCCGCTTCAGCTGACCCTCTCCACCGACTGAAATACTTGTACACTTCTGGTAATGGCACGGTATGCGTACTTAGCACCTCACAGTCCGGTAAGAGGGAGTACTCAATCTCAGATGGGACTTGTGCTGCTGCCTTATCTTGAGCTTGCAACAACCTTTTAACCGCATGAACCAAAGTTGATTCAGCAACATCCCGATCATCAGACCCTTCGGGCTCGCGGCTTAAGGACTTACTCTCTCGTGCAATCAACGCCTTTAAGCTAAGAGCACGACTTTCGCAATCCTCAAAGCCCGCACTCCCCGATGAGCCAAGACTCTCATCATCACCACTTTGGGGGCAACCGTCAGGAAAACCAAACTCTGAAGCTTCCAAAACAACAGAGTCAACACCCCAATCAAATCCCCCAAACTCTCCAACACCAATGGCTTCACAGTCATCGCCGCAAAACCTCATCAGATCAACACCGGGTGCCTCGAGAATGCCGTCATCACGAGTATCGAAACCTCCAGTCCCGACATCCAACACTCCCCCGGACCCATTAAACCGCTGCCCCGCTAATGTGTTCCTTACCGGGGCGGCCAAACTAGCTTCACAGGGCACCTCAAGAGCGTCATCGAAACCTCCAGTCTCGGCATCCAACGCTCCCGCGAACCCATTAACTTGCTGCCCCGCTAATGTGCTCCTTACCGGGGCGGCCGCAACCGACTCATTGTTGTTCGGCGGACCGCTACCGAAAGCTGCGGACTTAGTCACATCGCGCTCGCACACCGAGCAAAGTCCTACCACATCCCTACGACATGCACTGCAGGACCATCCAAACCCTTGTTCACCTAGACATGTCTTTATTTCGCCAGCCGGAGCCGGGTCAACACACTGAATCTCCCGCACCCCAACTTCATAACTCCCCGCTCCTACGCCGGCCGGAGCCGGGAAGTGACCTACAACTGATTTCACATCTAACCCACTTGACCCCTCAGGTTCATCGCCCCAAGGCTCAACAATGCTCTCCAGCACCTCAGCAAAAGATACATGCTTGTTTAAGTTTATGTTATTTTTATAGGGGGTTTTGTGATTTTTGTTTTGTTTTGGGTTTTCGGCGTCATCACGAACACCATCCACATGTGTGGGGAAAACTGAATCAACACCTGAAAAACTGAATTTATGATTGGGGTACTCTCCCCCCTCCCGAGATTCGGGAGATTGCACCTCGAAAGGTAATGGAAAACCTGATGCGCCAAGTTGCTCGCGCTCGGCTGCGGTAAGCAGCAATGAACCCTTAACGGAAAACCCAACTAGCAAAACCCTGCTTCCTTCCGTCCACGGCTCCGAGCTGTGCCAGCGATGAGGGTTTAACAAAAGCGGTTCATATTGCTGCAAAGCCACTACTCTCCCCCGAACCCGTAAGCCCTGCTTAACCTCTCTCACATCATCTCCCTCGCAGTCTTCAATCCAAATACCGCCACCGTCACGCGGCACCTGTAAAGGAATGACGATGTTGTTTTGAGGAAGGTTGTACTTATCTTTATGGGCTGGGGCACAGGTCTGAGTGAGACATGCGATACTAGTGAAACGTGCCGTGGGCACAACATGTTTGATCATTCGAATGGCCAATGCTGTCAAGCCAGGGAACATCGTAGTACACGCCGTAATCCCTTTCAAACCCCCGCGACTGTAAGCCCCTAAAACGATTGCACATCCCGCTGATGACCGATGGGTTCTGCCTTGACGGGCTTCCAACACCATGCTAGAGATAAGCAGGGCAGACGAGGCTTGCGGAAGGTTCAAAGTATCACCTCCGGCCAGAAACGATGCAGCTTCATCCTGAGCATGCTTGTTACGCAATTTGTCGCGGCTTGCAGCGGTCAACTTACGAACTACAGCTGCCGGGGACTTGGGACGACGCCGTCTAGGTGGGGGAATGGGGGCATCAGCAACCTCAACATCAACAGGAGCTTCAGCCTCATCCGGTATTGGGGCTCGCACTCCGCTAATGATGACCTTGGCATTCCTAAGACTGCCATCCTCAAGCCTCACCACATAAGCGTTTTCAACCTCTTTGGCAGGAGCCAACACCTTAGCAGGAACCGCTCTAAACCCCCATTCTTTAGCCTTCCACGACCTTTCCTGGATATGCACTTGGCTGTTGAAGGGTTTGATGGGCTCCGTCTTCCATCCGAGCCGGTGAAACGCAAGAGACCTATGTTGTAAAGTACAATGCCGAATCGCAAATGCCCAGTCCTGCCACCCGAGACCCGAAGCCCTCAACAGCGTCCTAGCGCGACCCTTCAAAACTCCTATGGCATTCTCGACCCTGCCATTGGAGCGGAAATCATCAGCTCCCGTACAACTTTTGACGAACCCCTGATCGGAGCACCAACCTCTAAAGCTTTTATTGCAGAACTCTCGGCCAGCATCGGTATGAACGCGTGCCACGGGCAAGCCAAGCAATGCAATTTGAGCCTCAATCCGCTTCACTGCTCTCAAAGTCTCACTCTCTGTCTTCTGATATAGGGGTTCTGTCCAAACAAGTTCGATCATCGGGACTTTGGGCAGGGCTTGCTCTTCAGACAGATCAACAGGAGGCTCATCAATGGGGGGTTGTTCGGGGTCTTCCACCTCGGGCACTTCCCATTCTTGGACTTCGGCTGGGGCCTTATGTGGAACCTCATCGGGGGCCTCATGTGAAGCCTCATCGGGGGCCTCATCTGGGTTTTCGGGTAAAGCTCCTATTCCACCTACAAGGCACTCAGGAAAGGTATACACAGCCACCACAAAATACCGAACTGACCTCAGTGTCTCGTCCGTTCCGCCTTTATGCGGGCCCATTAAGTCTAAACTCAACACAAACGATTCCGCCGCTGGCTGTCGCCTGTGCGGGCGACCACGAAGGCGTCCCTCCAAACAGTGCTGACAATCTGCTTTGAATGGAATGTGGCCTTGTGCTACATGATCCTTAAATGAGGTTCGAACCTTGCGCTTTGCGAGGGCCTTGAGAGACTCAGCATTATCGTGGTAGCGCTTCCAAACATCTGCCATGTTGGTGATGGCTTCGGCAGCTGTTTCAGACCGAGTGCCCAGTACGAACTCACCTCATGATGCTCATGATTCTCGCCCTTGGGGGGAATGTTGGGGTAACACGTGTTGTCAAGGATATCCCGTATCCAAAGTGGCCAGTACACTCCATGAGCAGCAATCGTGGTTGGCTTGATGTCTTCATGTCCTAGGGGTCCTTGGTTTAAGTGGTATTGGCGAACTCCTAAAAACCCCTCTGTAACCTCCCACTCAGGCGTGCACCGCACTGATGGCATGTTCTTTTGGGGGTCCCTTGGGCCTTCAGTGATACTTAGGAGCGGAGGACACTCACCAAATCTCAACCTCAAGCCCGTTGCCGATACCACCTTTAGCATCAACACCCGCAGCAACAAACAATCCTCATGGAACAACCTGCTGCAATCATCAGCGCTCGCTGAGTCCAAACCCCATCTCCCTTTACCATCCCGAGAGCGAATAGCTAAGGATCCGGTATCCCATGTGCGATCGGGCATCCTCGAGAACACCCCTTTCACTTTCCCAGCTGCCGCTAGGCGAAGCAGATATGCCATGGTATGGGGGCTATTCAAATTCTCCTTCACATCTATATCAACAACCTGGAACCCATAACGCGCAGCTGTCTGCTGAAATTGGCGTCGGCTGTCTCCACAACACAAGTTCAGGATGACCCCCTTTGACCGATGCATAGACCTACGCTTCCTACGATTCCAACATAAAGCTTCGTGCATACCTGGAAGGAAACGTGACACCTCATCACAAACGTTGTCGGGAACAGCGGGGTACATGGTCCTCAGAAGAGCCTCCGTCCACGCAGTGATGATTCCCTCACCGCCGTCGTCAACTTCAATCGCCCTACACAAACCCTCCGCATAGTCAGCAATCCCCATACCCTGCATGGCCTCGTGAATCAAAGCCACTCCTTCAGCATTCATGGTGGACTGCTGACCAGCATCGTTTTCCCACTGTTCAATCCTAGCGATCAAATCAAGGGCAACCCGACGATCTACTCTAGGACACCCGTCTTGAACGACCACTGGGACTCGTCCCAAAGTAGGATGCACTACAGTACAAGCTTTCTGACGCCATGCTACATGAAAGCCAAGGCGTACCAACTTGGACATGGACACAATGGGCTCGCTATCACCTGAACCGATCAAAGTACCGAAAGCCGACACACCCATGTAGGTTTCACCTTCTGCAAGTGCAACCTTTCGCCATTCTACCGGTTCTTCACCTTCCCGTCTGGGACGAACACACAATGTAGCGCCTGAGTCTAGCAGACCAGTCATCCTCCCAGCTTGAGGTTTAGGGTATGGGAGGCCTTCAAGGGTCGGGCAAACTCCTACAGCGATGGCCTTAACAGATGCAGCCGATGATGTTTGGGTGAGTTGTTTGATGGCAGCTGTAACTTCACGAAACATGTCCTGCCTCGCAGTATCTTCAACCTTAGCGGCGGTTTGAGCGGCATCAGCCGCTGCCCCCGCATCACCCTTGGGCTGCTCCTCAGAGCCTTTCTTCCCGCCTTTGGCGCCCTTCCCTTTACTCCCCCCGTCCCCAGTACCAGCACTACCCTTACCCCGGTATGGACACGCATCCTTGAAGTGCTCAGTAGATGAGCATGAGAAACACCGTTTGTCTCCCTTTCCAAGCGGCGAATGAGCAAATGTACAACTACCAGCAAAGCGACACCCGCCAGGAGTCATCCAATGCTTACATGCCGCCTTGGCTTTGGCCTTGGGTTTGCCCTTTGGGGGATCAATGGTATCCTCAACCTTCGCTGCCTTAGTGGTCTTCGCGATACCGGTGTCCAAAACCTCCAACTCAGCCTGTAACATCTCAGCCAATGCACAAACCTTTTCTGATGTAGGAACCATGTCAATGTTTTGCGAATACCGAAAAGATGACAGCCTGAATTGGGTTTCCGGAAACTTGCTCAGCGCTTTACTGGTAAGAAGATCCAATCCTGCCAGAAGCAATGTGGAATCCGGCAATGAGACCTGTAAGTCTTCAGCCCTACGATACCACCTAGCCCACCGTTTCAAATGCTTAAGCGCTACGCTCACCTCGGAAGACGATTCTGGTGTGGTGAGAAACCGCAACAAAGCCGAACGCTCCTTTAAACCACCCGGCTGATAGGTGCAAAAGATCTTCGCGACCGCATCAATGCAGGACATCCGTTGGGTGCTTACCAGCTCCTCCTTCAAGGAGTTGGGAATGGCTTTAAGGATCAGGTGCAATCCTCGCTGTTCTACACGAGAGAATCGCGTCCCTTCGAATCTATGAGGCTGGTTGGGTCTGAGAGAAAGCCTTTCAACAGGGGTTGAGGTTAACCAACGCTGGTAATGATCAGTCGATGCTTGAAGTACTTGTTTCCACCATTCAGCGCTATTTGGACTTAAATCTTTCATGACCGGACCTGCCAAAGTGAGCCAGTCACCAGCTAGAAGAGGCGAGACCTCCTTATCCCCATCATTAATGACCAGCTTCTGAAGCTCAGCCGTTGAAGTTTTCACCTCCTCAGCTCTCCCGTCATGGTCTCCACCATATGTGGCGAAAACCCGTTTCAACCCATTATAAAACCACTCCAAACCTTCGCGTCCCTCGGAACTCCCACCGGCAGAGCCTAACCCACCACTGCAATCGTTTGTGAAGGAATCGCCCTCAACTCTCACACTAGTTCCCCGCATTTCGTTTGGAACTTCCGGTGGAGCCGTCAATGTTGGAAGCGTTCTGGGTAGATTGCTTGCCGGCCAGGGGTAAGGTGGGGACACTACAGGTTGCGGGGCCTTTACATCAGGAGACTTCGGAGCAGCCGCAATTGGCGGCGGTCGGATTTCAGTGCCACCTGGAGAGATGGGATAAACAATCGTAGGCTTGATCACCTTAGGAGTCCTTTCACCCGGAGCTTGCAAGACCTCAGGAGCAGCAGCCACCGGAGCATGAGAGCAAGGGTTATGGGTGGGATCCGATGCCGATGCAACCAATGACCTCAGAGCTCTCTTTGAAGCTACGGGACTTTCAGACAACCCCCTACGC